CGGCAGCGCGGCGCCGTCTTGTCCGCCATCGGGCCCGCGACCGTTCGCGAGGGTCTCGTCTCGTCGCCGCCGCCGTCACACCGCCGTGACTTCCTGTCAAGACTTTGTCGTTTTGGCAGGGAGTCCCGCCGCGCCAAAGACGTTTCAGATGGAAGCGGAGAAATAACGGGAAGAATTGCCATCCGCTTCGACGGAACGATCGATTGCCGCGGCCTTGGTTTTTTTTCGTCGGCCCCGCCCGCCTCCCCCCGCCCCACGTTGACCGGAAGCGGACACGGCGGCGTTCCTCGACGTATGCGCGTCTCTGAAAAAGGTTCGAAGGAAGAAAAGCGCGGCGGCTGACCTGATGATGTCATCGTTGTGCCCCAGGTAGAACTTTTGGGTGTGCTCGCGGGCGTTGTAGACCACGCCCACCCCGGCCACAAAGTAGACCAGTTCCTTGCCGGCCGTAATCGATTCAAGTCAAGGCGACCCTTCGCGCGTGCCTTTCAAATGATGTTTTAGCATGAAGCTAATAGGACGATACGGTTCGGTTGAGGAATCGACCATCAAAGGCGTCAACGGCTATTTGGATGAAGGACGAATCGCTGCCGGGCATTGTCGATGCTCTCCGACTTCCGCGGTCCTCCGGGAAAATGATTTTGCAATCGACGGGAACGCAAAATTCATTTGGAATTTTCTACAATATTGGAGAGCTGAGCTGGATGTGCAGCAATGAATCGATTCATCCGATTGCTGCCATTTTCTCTCAAAGTAGTGATTGACACCCCCCCCCCTTTCAAAATGAGACTTTTGGAAGCACCTGCTTTTGGGAAGAAAAATAAATGATCGACTACACCAGAGGCTGAAGACTGTCAATTGATGTTGTTCCATCGTCTGCCCTGCCAGTTTGCATCGATCGACCTTTCTCGGAATAGTGGGATGGAAATTACGGTTTTTTTTTTTTTTTTAATCCAATTCATCTCTCTCTCTCTCTCTCTCCGCCTGTTTCGTATTTTCGCCAAGCGCGAGCGGGTCGGGACCGAGGCCGGACTATTCTTGCTCGCGAACGCCATGATTGTGAGCGGATGATAATCCTCGCACCTGCTGCCCCGCGGCCTCCAACGTCGTCGGCATCTTCGCGTTCCGCCGCCGCGCTCGAAGATCGACCCGCGTCGGCGACCGAGGGCGTCTCCGTCGTTCCGCGGCGGGACCTCGAGTCGGAACCGCGGGCGAGAACCGCAAGAATCGAAGGAGGAGAGCGAGGACGATCCCCGGATTGGACGCCAATCGCCAGACGGCAGGCCTGTGGAAAAGGGAAAGATGAGCACCTCCGCATCCGGACGAGGCCCGTCAAAATAAAACCAACGGTGGCAAATTCAATACCTTTGCCGTCGCCGGGAAAGGAAAAAAAAAACAAAACAAAAAGAGGCGGACGGTGTAGTCCCTTGAGGAACATCGGAGTCCACGCGACGTCGCTTTTGACTCGTTGAGGTTGTCCGGGCGCCTCGCTTTTATGTTGAAGCGCGGACTTGTCGCGTCTTTTGTCCTATTTTCCGCCTCGAGAGGGCGGATGCCGCAAAAGGGGCGCGGTGCACGCCGGGAGATGGAGTCCTTTTTTTTTTCAAGCCAAAAGCGAGGCCGAGAACGAGCTCGAGCTCGACGCTCAATCCGGATCTCGTTTCGACGTCGTCAAATGCCGCTACGGATTTTATTTGCTGTGCGATCGCGTTCCCAAAACCGGCGAATGTCGCCCGTCCCGTTGAAAAATGCGATCGGTCCGCTTCGACCTTGGGGGGGCTCCCGAGGCAGCGAGGACAAGAGCGCTTCGAGTTTGATCCCCCCCCCCGCCCCCCATGACAAGCGTTGGCAAATAAGGAAACGACGCGTCAAAACCAAAAGCATCATGGCGAGTGAATTCAACAACTGGCGCAATCACTGAATGAATCGTACGCGCACGCATGTGTGGTTGACCCATTTGTGTTTTTCATGTAGATCCCAAGGTCAAATGTAGATTCTTTAACAAACACACACAATTTTTAGATCGATATTATCAAAGATATCTTTTGATATACTGAAATATATCCAACTGGCGCAAAGATTGCATTTTGTGACGGAAAGGGTCGACGAGCGCCCCTTTGACGTCTCGCGACGGTTCTCTTCTCGAGCGGCGACCCCCGACGTGCACGTTCGCATTGTCGGCGCGCAGCGGGGAGGGACCCCATTCCGGTGAACTGTTTCTCAACGGATCTGTGCACACATTTAAGAGAAGAGAAGAGAAGAGAAGAGATCCTTTATTGGCCCGCATTGGGGAAATTGACAGTCGACAGCAGCGAGATCGGGAGAAAGAAGAAGGAAAAAAAAATGGATGAGCTCGTCCACTCCCAAAGACGTTTTGAAACGTCTTTTCAGACTTGCTCTAGAATTGGCCGGTCCCGAGTGAGTTGGTGGTGTCATTATTTGTTGATTTTTTTTGGGGGGGGGGGCACAATTGGTGACCCCCCCCCTTTTTTTTCTTCTTCTTCTCGCTTGGAAAAGGCGTTTCCTCAGGCGGAACCTCGGCCTGAATGGGCAAAGAGATTCACGCCTTCGTCGTCATCGTATTCGCGCAGCTCGCTTTGATCCTCGACGACGCTTCTGTGAAATCCGCCTTGAGCGAAGCGCACGCGCGCGAATCCTGCGGCTGAAAAGCATCGCGAGCAAAGATTTGAGAGCGTCCACTTTATCGACGAGCGCGGCGTGCGCTTCGCCGGGACGACGGCGTCAGAAATCCAGCCACTGGTCCAAGTAGACGCAGTTGGACGGCGAAATCTCGCCGCCTTCGCGACAGTCGTCGAACACCTGCCGGCCGCAAAACAGGAAAAAAAAAAAAAGGGACGTCAACGCATTCAAGAGTCGTGGGGGGGGGGCGGCAAACGCCCGAGATTCCGATGACGGATCGCTCGTCGGGGCGCAGATTGAGACGAGCGTTTGAAACAGCGAGCGCAAACGGCGACGCGGAGGTCCCCACCCCCGCTAAAGAGCCGAGAAGCTTCCTCGAGACGGAAAGCGGTCTGGCGTTACCGGGCACAGTCCGCACGGCGTCTTGACCAGGCCGGCGGGCGCCGCCACGGCACGGACGGCGCGGTACAGCTTGATGCGGCCGTCGGCGCAGCCCGGCGTGCCCTCCTTGGCCGCCATCACGTTCATCTCCGCCTTCCCGTCGTACACCAGCGTGTCCAGGATGGTCTCCGTGTCGTCCATGGACAGGTCCACCTGGGCGGGGAGGGAGGTCGGAGGTCGGGCGTGGGGCGTGGCGTGGCGGGGCGGGGCAGGGCCACCTACCTTGCTGATGCCCAGCTCGCGCATGTACTTCCAGACTTCGTGCGAGGTGGCGAAGGAACTGTTCCTCTGGAGCACGGGACTCTGCTCGCCGACCTGCGCCGACTCCGCCTGAGGGCCGCCGACGCGCGTTAGCGGCCAATCGCCGCCGTCGCCGCTAACGCGCGAGGTGACCTTTACCTTGCCGTGCAGGAACTTGAAGCACTGCTGGTTCAAAACCTCCACGAACTCCGACTCAAAGTCCTGGTCGCTGTACCAGGCGCCGCCGGTCACCGAGCGGTCGGGCTGCACGTTGTACAGCATGTACACTTTCTTCTTGGACGCCTGCGCACAAAGACGGACGGCGGGTCGCGCGCTCGGTGATTTGATTTGTATTTGACGCGAGACGGGTCGGAACGTCGGCAATCTGACGGCGGGCGGGCTGCGAAACGTCGGAGGCGGCGGGCGCGCCGCACTCACCGCCACCGACTTGACGGCTTTGATGAGTTTTTTGCTCTCGAGGTTCTTGAGGATCTTGTTGATCTCGGTCAGCGGGAGGTTGCTCTTGAAGCGGATGTCGCGGCTCCAGATGCCTGCGGGCGGGCGGCCGCTCGTCACGCTCTCAGGGAGTCGCGCGCCCGACGCGCGCGTCGGGCGCCGCGCGCGGCCCCACCTTTGTCGGCGGCGTCTTCGATGATCTGGTAGACGAGCTTCTCCTGGTTGTCGGAACCTTTCATCTTGCTGCGGTCACGGGCGGGCGGGCGGTCGGTCACGCGAGGCGCTCGAGACGCGCGGCTCGCCGTCGCGGGCGCGCCTTACCTGGCGCTCTGCGCGTCCTTCAGCTTGTAGAGGAGCCCGCCGCTATTCCGCAGCAGATCCAGAAGACCCTGGCGCACAGGTCAAGCAGAGGTCAGCCGCAGACCGGCGCGAGCGAGCGGCGAGCGGGCGAGGGAGGGGCCACGGACCAGCGAGAGCAGCTTGTTGATGGCGGCGGCCCTCTGCCGAGCGTCCAGGTGCGGCATGTCGTTCTGGATCACCTGGTCCGTGATGCCGTGGGGAAACTGCTGGCACAGCGCCTTGATCCTGAAAACACAAGCCGGGGAGCGCTTCGCTTCGCTTCTTCGACGAAAGGGACGCGATCGGGCTCACCGCAGCCTCGCTCATTTTTCCCCCTCGACGCCGTTTTGGGCCGTCACGTGACACAACCTCAAGATTTCATCTCGTCATCGGCGAGCGGGGCCCGTTCGGATTCGTCGCGCGGCTTCATCCCGACGCAAGTTGATCACGCGTACGGCAGGCCGACGCGAAACGCGTCAACGGCACGACTCGGTGAAAGGCGAAGACTGCGAAACGTCAAGGCAACCGAACGCGATCAAGCTCGAGACAAAGTCTCTGACCTGTTTTCAACTTCGGCGGGGTCGCAGTTGTTCGTTTCTTTCTTCACTTTCACTTCGGACATTTTGAACGCACTCTTAGCCACTCGATAAGGCACTTTTTTTTTTTAAATACTTGACTAATTGCCTAAGCGTCCTTTTCTCGGGAGCCGGTTAGCCAGCCGTGCTTCTCCTTCCCTCTGGGCGGGGTCCTAAAAAGATGACGCAAATGTGGGGCACGTCCAAAACGTTGCCTGATTGCAAGCACGCCTTTTGCAACGGTTGCTGAATGACAACGGAAAAAAAAAAAAACGGGGTCCCTTTTCGCCAGTTCAGAAAACTGTCATACGGGGATGGTTATGAACGCCGCTGTCGCACAAAATGTTGTGAGCCGTCAAAGACAGATCGCTGGACGGGGTCCTAAAAGGACGAGGGGGACGTCGAAAAGGTTGCCTGACCGAAACGATGCCGTTTGTCCCATTTTCGGACCGAATAACAGAGTCGCGAGATTATTTGGGCTCCGCGCAATGCCATATTTTGCTCGACGTTTTCGATCAAGCGGGGCGGCTCCTCTCGCCTCCGCCCGCGCGGCCACCGGCGCGCATCGCCGCCGACTCACCGTAACGAGAAGTGAAGCGACTGACTGGCGGCCATCTTGCGTTGCCATTCGCGCAACGCACCTTTCACACTCATGCCGCGGTCGCTGCGAAATAGAAACCTAACCCCTGCAAGTCACTTATCACCGTACGAAGATAACGTACTCCGAATGCTCGATGCTGACGCCGATACTCCCGACTCAGGAGAAGACGCGCACTGAGAACTCGCTGCGTTTTCATCCAAAAGCCAACGCTAGTCGTCCGTAAAAGTGGCAACGTGAGATGGCTGCCCTCCGGCTTCGGCCGCCGCAGTCCAGTCGCGAGACCGTCGTCGTTACGCGCGCGCGCGCGTCGGAAACAACCGTCGCCCCGGTGACGCACGCAAAACATTCACGAGCTCGCGCGCTCGGCGGTGTTCAAGTAGCCTCAAGCTTGACTCGGAGTAAGTTCGCCATGAAAAAAATCAATGAAATCAAAGATCATCATCGATAGATGGGATGACAGCGCTTGTTTCCATGTACCGTTGTAAAAACGTTGGACTTTGACGTCCTCCTCGCGTTGATTGCTGATGATCGGTCTGATTGACAGCTCAGACGCGACCATGACAGCGGGGGCGGTGGCGGCGCCGCGCATCATTCCCATCGTGCGAGGGAACAAAGCCACGTCAAAGAACCACATTGACACCAACACGCTTGTTTGCATTCAGTCAGGTGGGTACGTGATGAGCGACTGGAGAAAAAACACACACGTCATTCGCTGGCGGCGCGCGGTCGAGACGTCATCGTGCTCACACGCGGCCGGACGTGCGTTTGCATGTGTGTTGACGCAGACACGGGCCAGGCGCGTCTTCTCTACACGCTGGACGGCTCCGAGCCCGCGCGCGAGGCGCCTTCGGGCTCGGGAAGCGGCGGGCGCCGCTACCTTTCGCCTTTCCTGCTGCCCGGCGGCCGAGTGTGCGTGCGAGCCGTGGCCGCCACCAGGTAGCGTCGCGTCACACTCGCCGTCGCCTCCGCGGGACAATCGCGCGACAGACAAAAAGCAAAGCCCGAGAAGGCGCTTCCCGTCTCCTCATCGGCCCAGTTTTGCGGCTGGACGGCGGGAACCGGTGACGTTTGAACCGTGAGCCCAAATTGCCTCGCGTTTCGCGGACGCACGAGTTTGGTCGTCGGAGGCCGTTTTTGTTCAAACGCGACATTGATTTGAAGAGAGAGGGACGGCGAACCAAAAGGCTCGTTTGCTTTTGAAAGCGATCGAGAATTTGCTCACGTTGGTATTTTAGCAAGAAAGCGCATTGCCTCGGCGGGCCGGCTAAAAGGACGCGGCGGGCCGGATCTGAACCCCGGGCCTCGGCTTTGACACCGGGGTTTCAATCCACGGAGGCCGAGCTGACCACTCGCCCGGTTTTCCGTCGGCAGCGACGGCCGCGAGAGCGCCACCGTCACCAAAGTCTTCGTCGTCCGGGAGGCGGAGCCTTTGCAACAGGTCATCAATCGATCGCTCCGCCGATCGCGCGCTCGGCGGATCACTCAGCCGCCCCTGCGCTCTTCCTTTCCAGGAGGCGATTCCGGGCCAAGGCTTGCGCCGCGACGTTGCGACCTCGCGCCGGCCTCAAGGTGAAGATTTTCAACCCGCTTTTCTGGAGCCAACCTTGTTGACGGAAGGCTCTTTGCGATTGTTTGTCGTTCAGGGTCAAAGGTGACGGGCGGCGCCCGGTCCCTTTCGGGTCCTCGCGTGGCTCCGCCCGCCGGCGTTTCCGCGCGCTCCGGTTGGGAGGTCACCGGACCCCCCGGCGGCGCGCCGGACACGTGCGCTCACTTCCCAAGGTAAGATCCGCTCCTGGGCTAAACGGAACTCTTCGCCGACACGCTCAGCTCGTCGCCCGCCCGTTCGGGAAGCGGCGCCGCTCTCCTGAAATTCTTATTGGGGCAAGATTAGTGGCGCAAAGACGTCGTCACGCCACTTTTGGCTGTTTGCGCGGCCGCAACGGGGACGATGTCCACATCGAGTTTGAACAACACGTCTGCGTGTTTGTGTGTGAATAGGTGTCCAATTTTCTGTCTGACCTGCGGCACTTTGGCACCGCACGCGAAGGCCCCCGCTGATGGAGGACAGGTACCGCGGCAGCCGAACGCCGGCCGACGACGACGACGTCGTCCCACTGACGTGCTTTTGCGTGCGAGCGTTAGCCGCTGCGTTGCGTGTGGTGCCACGCTCAAGTTCCAGTCGACGCTCACGTGTGTTCCAGAGGCCACGCCCCCGGACAGCAGAAGCTCCGCCGCGGCCTCCGGGTACGTGCGCGCGCGTACGTCGAGAAACGTCGACCTCGGAAAACAAACTCGCACGCAATTTGAGCTGAGTGGATGTGGTCGTTGTGTGTCAGGCTCACATTTTGTGCGCGTGTTGTGGACGAGGAAGCCCGGCTGACCTGTCGCACTGTTTGACGTGCGACAGCCGCCTGCGCACGGAAGGACGCGCGCACGTAGGGCACTCACGCATACATCCGTACGCCCGCCCGAAAGGCATGCGCGCGTTTTTTTTGTCGCGGTCGCAGACGGCGTCGGAGGTGGAGAGCGCCCCCTGTGCGCAGGAGGACTCGCACGAGGCAAACCCGTCCTGCTCCGCGTGTCGACGTGTCAACCGGGGGGACGCCCGCTACTGCGACTGGTGTGGCGCAAAGCTTTCCAAGGTGAGCCCGTCTCGAAAAAAAAAACATTTGGCTGGCGTGGCGCGGCGTCGTGCGGGAGAGCGCGGTCGGCTGCGGCCTCCCGCGACGTCCGCAACGCCGACGTCGCCGTTTCGACATCCCACCTCGACAACGCGTCTGCGCGCGTCCGCAGGCGCGGCGCCGGGCGCAGACCTCGGGAACACGCTGGCCATCGGGGACCGACGGACCGCGGGCGCCGCGCACCGCCGTCAGCCCGGGAAGAGGTCAGACCCAAGCCGCGCCCCCGCGAGCTCGCAAGCGTTTCAGACAAGCGCCGACCGGCGCTGGAAGGGTGACGATGTCGCGGGTTGAGCGGACGTGTCCCGCCAGGTTACTGGAGGAACCAACTGGATCACGTGTGCGCTCACCTGAGGAGTTTTGCCCAGAACGACGCCCCCTTCAGGACTCTGTTGGGAGAGCCTCGCCTCGGCCGGGTACGAGCCGGCGACGGTCCGCGCCGCGCGCCGCGCCGTCACTTCCCGTCTCCTCCTTCCCTCAGATGACTCGGGCCGCGCTTCAGGAAGACGGCCGAGAGGTCAGTCTGACCCTCGGCTTCGCGGCGGCCGAGGACGTCCGGCACAAAGTCGGAGAGAAAGCCAGGGTTTCCGCTCGGAGTGGCGTCGGCGTCGGCGGGCCGCGCGCCGCTGGACTTTTCTCTCCTCTTGCCTCTCGGGTTGCCGGCGAAGAGACGGCAGCCGCGCCGGAGACGCGCCCAGGCCGGTGACCTCCTTTGCGATCTGATGTTAGCGTGGAGCAAATGCGCTGATTTGTTTTCTCTCATGGCAGCAAGTGGAAGCAAAGCAAGCAGCGTTGAGATGGTGAGACGAAGACGTAGGCACACCCGCGCACCTTCCGCATTCGCGTTTGGCTCACATCCCGCTTGTTCTAATTTGCGGCGGCGCCAGTCAAAGGACGTCCAGCTGCTCCAGGAGTTGGGACCGGGCCGCGGTCGCGTGGGCGTCGTCCGGCGGCTCCTGGATCAGGTGAGGAGTCCGGGCCGACGGGGCGGCGCCCCCCCCCCGCCCCCCCGCGCGGTCTGCCAACGGCTCTCCGTCCTCGTCCTCCAGGGAGCGGACCCCAACTGCCGGGGCGGCGCCGCCGCGGCCATCGCCGCCATCAACGGGCATCACGCCGTCCTGCCGCTTTTACTGCAGCGCGGCGCCGACATCGACCGGCGATCCGGCCCGTAAGACGCCGCCGTCGTGCTTGTCCGGCTTTTGATGAAATGGACGGGGAACCGTTTGGAAACGCGATCGGGACGAAACGGAAGCGCAAAAGCTCAGGCCCCGTTGAAAACTTTGAATCCGAACGGCCACGACATGGCGCGGGGTCCCTCAAGGGTCCGCCCTCCGGCCCCCGGGGTTGGGCCTGTCTCGGCTTCCTCAAACGACCTCGCCGCTTTGCAAAGGCGAAAAATGAAGCCTCGCCGTCATCCGCGCGCACTCCCTTTCCGCAGACTCGGAGCAAAGCAGGAGAACCTCGCCCGCCCGAGCTTTTGTCTCCCGAGCGGCGGCAACCGGCCGGCGTAGGAAACGTTGCCATTTGGTCGCGGTCCGGCCGCACCCAGCGCGGGTCGCCTACGGAGGTCGGAAGGTCGCCCGCGTTAGGTCACGCGCTAATCTGCACGTCCGTCCCGGCAGGAAGAAGAACACGGCGCTGCACGAGGCCGCCGCGCGAGGACCGGAAGGACTCGGCTGCGCGCGAGTTCTCCTCAGGTAGCGGCGCTTAGCGAAAGACGCTCTCTCGCCGAATGGCGTCGGCTTCGACTCCAAGAATGAAAGGCGACGTTTGATTGACGAGCGTTTGTCAAACGAGCACGCCGAGCGAGGACTCTCGTTCCCAAAACGTCAAGGCGGGCTCGCGCAAAGCGGTCGGCCATTTTGTTTTTTTTTTTTGTTTTTCTCTTTCAGCTGCAACGCCGCCACCGGAGTGCGCAACGGCGACGGTCTGACGCCGTACGACGTGGCCATCGCCGGCGGATGCGGCGACATGATGTCGCTACTTGGTGGCTCCGCCTCTTTGGGAGGGGCGGAGCTCACGCCGGGCTCAAACTCATCTCGGGTCGCGTGAGCGACACGCGGGCGGAAAAGAAAAACGCCGGGGCGCGGATGGAGTTTTTATTGGCTCAAATGACGGGAAGACGAAGGGGGCGGCGTCAGCGTCGCAATCGCAGGAAGAAGGCGTGTCGACACTCGGCGCTGTCCAAGGCGTAGTACTTGTCGTAAAAGTCCAGGATGTACTCCTCGGCCTGGAAGCCGAACTTCTGGTAAAGCAACATGGCGGGATTGCTGGCGGACACGTGCAGAGTCACATCCTTGCCCATGCACGTCTGGGGGTGGGGGGGGGGATTGTTAGAATTTTTCTGCCCCGGGGGTACGTTGTCGTCCCTCAATTGACATCCTTTTCAATTTGTGACTCAAAAATGTTGATAAACCGTTGTGGGTCAAAATGCAATTTCCCTCGCGTTTCTTTTCGCCGCCACTTCGGCGTCGAGAGGCTTGGCGTCGCCCGACACGACACCCACGCGGGCGCGTCGTTTGACAACTTCCCCAGATGGTCAACTTGGGCCCAAGTTGAGAGCGGAGGGGTCTCACCTGGATGAGGTGGTAGATCATGAAGGTTCCGATGCCCGCCCGCCGCCACTCGGGGTGCACCAGCAGGAACGAGACGTACGCTTCGTTGTACTTGACGTCGGGCACCATGAAGCCGAAGCCCACCACCACCTTCTTGTAGAGCGCCACCACGCTGAAGTCGGGGTACTGCAGGCACTCCGACAGGTCCACTCCTGGGGCGGGGGGGCGAAGGTCACGGAGGCGTAGGCCCGCATCGGCGTCGGCGCCTTACCTGGCCAGAAGCCGTGGCGACACATGGCGTTGACCGAGGGGATGTGATTGGGCCGCACGTAGCAGTAGTCCAGGGGGGCGTCGGCCTCCGGGGTCCAGCCGGGCTCGCGGCGGTGAGCGTGCGCTCGGATCTCGGCCAGCAGGCGCATCTTCGGGGGACGGCTCTCGTAGTCGCGCCTGGCGGAGCCGCAATTTCCAGCGATTCGGAATTCCACGTCCCGACGCGGCGGCGGCGGCGGCGTTCTTACCTGATGTACGTTTTGAGGAAGCGGGACGTGTACGGGCTCTTGACGCTTTGCTCCGAAGCGCCGTCGGCGCCCGTCAGGCGACAGCCGAAAGAGAGCCGAGGCGAGGGCGACCCGCGGCGAGTCGAAGCTTTGGCCTGCGGAGGAGAGGCACGAGGCGGCGCTTTGGCGAAGCCCGGGGCGCCCCGACGGAGCGTCCGCGCGGCCGCCCTCACCTGGAAGCGGTCCAAGACCCGCAGATCCCGGCCGGCGCCGGGCCGCCCGCCCCCCGCCGCCGCCTCCCGAGCGCCATAGACTCCTCCCGCCAGACTGAGGGCGCGGTCGATGTCCAGCAGGGGGAGTCCTTGCTGCCGCTTGGCCTGCCGCACCAGCAGCTTGCGGCGGAGGCGGCGGGCCTGCGGCGTGACGGCCAGCGCCAGCGGGCACGCGTCCAGACGGCGCCGCAGCGTCCGCTCGTCGTAGGGGCCCATGAGGGCGTGGCGAGGAACGGGAGGGCTCCCGCGGCTTTTGTCGCGGCGGGCCGACGACCTCTTGCGCTCCGAGATTGCTTGCGCGCCGAGGCGGCGGGCGGAGGGGCGTCCTCCATCCCGGGGTCGATGGCGGCGTCCGCCTCCATCTCCTCGTCGTCTGGACGCCGTGACGGAAAAACACAAGAATGAGGCGGCGGCGTGGCCGCTCGCGTGACGACGGGGCGTCGGCGGCTTACCGTGAAAGAGAGCCTGGGGCGGCATGGCGTCCGGGATGAGGTCGGCCTCCGACAGCAGGCTGGGCGTGGCCGAGTGGGAGGCCGGCGTCCCGGGCGCCGAGAAGTCGGGCGAGGGCGACGGCGACGGGCTGGTCAGCGGCGTCCTGTCCGAAGAACTGACGGAGGAGAAATCCACCACCTCGCCCTTCTCCAGGAGGGCTTCCGGCGGAGGATGCCGCCGCCCGCCGCCGCCCGCCTTGACGGGCGCGGAAGGGGCGGCGCCGCGCTCGGAAAAGCCCGCCTCCTTCTGAGCCCGCCGGATGTCTTTGGCCTCCTGCGTGCGGGAGCGCTTCTCCTTCAGCTGCATGGCCGTCTCCACCGGGTTCCTGCCGCCCCGCTTGCGCAAACCTTCCGCGGCGACGGCCGGCTCTGCCGCCGCCGCCGCTTTGCGAGCCGCGCCTGCCACGCACGCGGGAATGTCGTCGGACGGGGCGTTGAAAACGCAGCCGACGGCGGCTCACCTTTGGCCTTGGCGGCGGCCTTGTGGGCGTGGGCGCGCAGGGTCGGAGGTCGGTTGTGGACCAGCTTCCACCATCCCGGCTCGCTGAACTCCTGGGCCCCCGAGCGGAAGAAAGTCGGACTGCCCACCGACAGACACCCCGCCACCGTGCTCCACCAGGTGGACGTCTTTTTCCTGCCGGGGGTGCCAAAAGTACGTCAGGCGCGCCGCGCGGCCAGAAGCTAACCATCGCGCGGCGAGAAACCACCTGGATCCCAGGAGGAAGTTCCAGTGGCGGCCGATGAAGGCGCAGATGTCCTCCTTCCAGCGGAAGTAGCCTTGGCGTCCGGTTCCCTCCAGAGACAGATTGTACATGGCCAGCATGACCACCTGCCGCACACAAAGCGGGTGTCAGCGGGCGGCGCCGATCGCGCGGGCGAGGGGTGGGGTCGGGGGGTGACCTGCTGCCAGGTGAGCCGCATCCTCTCGAAGCTCTCCTCGCCGTCCTCGGAGCAGTCGCGGCACACAAACTTGAAGAAGTTGTCGCCCTTCAGGTAGCTGGGCTGGTTGCCGTGGAGGCGAGCTACGGGGGAGCGGGCCACGTTTTAGCGCCGCGTTAGCGTGAGGGGGGGGCTAACCCTTGAAACGCAACGACCGTATTGGCGCCCCATCCAAGGGGGCGAAGCGGGGGGTCGCCCCCCCCCCCCCCCCCCCCCTCGCTGATTGCTATCTCGGCGCCTGGTCGACGTGCCGCTTCCCACGCCCTGGCCTCGGGCCGCCGCAGTCACCTGGTAACAGTTTTGCGTGTGCGTTTGTGTGCATATTGATCAGTGATGGTACAAGTCGTGAAGATCAGACCAGTCACAACAACATGCAGCTAAAAATACACGCGCACGCACACACGTGTGCACACACACATAAAGGCGTACCGGCGGGGATCCACTTGTGGCATCGCTCGCAGTAAAAGGCCAAGTGGTCGCAGGCCCAGACGGCGTCCGCCTCCTCGCCGGGGTCGCTGGCCAGGGAGTCGCCGCTGTGGTCGTGCGACAGGTCCGGCGAGCCCCGCTCCTCCGACTCCACGATCAGAAGCGTTTCGCCCTCCACCTCGCCCTCCTCCAGGCCCTCCGAGGCCGAGGCGCACGCCGCCCGGTCCTCGACGCCGCCCCCGTCCATGACCCCGACGTCAGCGCCGCTCCTCTCGCAGGCGAGCGCTTAACTTCCCGTTCTCCTCCAGGAGCCGCACGTTCCTCTTCTTGCGCTCGACGCGCTCCAAATCTCTCAGGACGCCTTCGTGGAGACGCTACACGCACACACACACACAAGGCCGCGCCGGTCGTAAGCGGTTCTCCGCCAGTTCGCTTTCGCACCTGCGCTCGTTTGGCGGAACGGCCGACTAGCCCGGCTGACTTTGGGCGAGAGGCGGGATACGGCCCGCGCCGGTCGGAGGCTACCGCTGACGCGCGACAAAACCAAATGGTCAAAATCAACAAGAGGAGGGGGGAAAAAAAAAAAAAAAGATGTACAGTGATCCCTCGCTACTTTGCGGTTCGGTTATCACGGGTCCAGTGCATCCCGGATTATTTCAAACATATAAAAAAATATATATATATATTTTTTTTAAATGTACGTGGCCTACAGGACTAGAGATGTTGCTCTATGCGACTCGCTGTTGTTTTGAAGCTTCTAGCGGACTCCAAAAAAAATGTTTTTTTGAACCGTTTCTGTTAACTGGACGCTACTTGGCGGATTTTCGTTTATCGCGGGTGGTTTTGGTCCCGACGAACCGCGATCGACGAGGGGTTACTGTCACGCTAATCATAACGACAAGTGGTCACAACTCATAAACGACTAAATCAATGATTCTCTGGATGTTCGATCCCATTTTTTATTTATTTTTTTTTTTCCCAGACGGGTACACGATCCGAGGTTCCGAAAATTCACAATTTCAGTTCAAACGAAAGCACCGACGACTCACTTTGATTCACTCGAAATGAACGAACAATGAAAAGTGACGACGGTTCCGTGCGGAACCGCAGTTCTGTCTCGTCCCCCGCCGGTCGACGTTTGTTGACTTCTTCAAACAAGAAGTACAAAGCGGACTCGAAAGAAAGAACAATCCAGACATTCGGAGGGGAAATGTCCGGCTCGCCTCAGCTCGTTGTTAGCTAGTTTAGGCGGGCAGCCGGCCTTGCAAACGGCGGCTTTGGGTCGCCCCGGCACGGCGGGGGGGGCTGGCTTTGGGCTCACCTGTGTGTCCCGGGCCTGCTTGAGATGGACGGCGACCACGGTGCCCGCGGTCACCAGCACAGAAAGTCCCAGCACCGCTTTAGAGGTCGTCGACATCACGTTAGCAATAGCCGACGTGATGCTAATCGCTGCCGCAATCCGGCGGTGGCGGCAACGGCTGCTACTTCTTCTTCTTCTTCTTCTTCTTCTTCTTCTTCTTCTCCTCCTCCTCCTCCTCCTCCCCCCCCTTCTTCTTCTTCTTCTTCTTGCGGTTTCTTCATTAACTATGGTTAAAAAAAAAAAACTACACGAGTCTTTATTGTAAATTCAATGATTATTCTAGCAAAATTCACAAATCCAAATGAAGTCATTCAAAGCCTCTTTTCTTAATTTTCGAACCAGAAAGCAGTGGACTTGAATTCTGTTTTGCATTCCAAAGAAATAAGAAAGCGGTTGAGACTCTTGCTTTATGGCGTTCATTTCGATTGGTGGAGCGTGAGCGCCACCTCCCGTTCAAACTTGGGAACAGAGTGACCCGGAGCCCTCCCGAACACGCTCTTTAGCCGGAGACGTTGTGAGCCCGGTTTTCGACGCGAGAGCTCAGAATTGGGCTCGATCCGCTTGAGAAATTGGTGGTGAGAAAGTGACGGGTCGGATGACGCGGGTGGACAAAGCGACTGCCGGCAAGCACCGGAGGTCCACTCTGACTATTGATGAGGCGTTTTATTGACCAGTTGACATAAATAAGAAGCATACACGTGAAAACAAAGAAAGGCTCACATCAATAACGCCAATCGAATGTTGTCAAGACGCCACCTTTTTTTATGTACACACATTTGAGGGCCCATTATTTGACAGCAGCCCCTCCCTTTTCAGCTTGAAATCCTTGCCAGAAGAAGGCAAGCAATGCTTTCACACATTTTCAAGTTCCTGTTCCTTCACAATAAAACACATCCGGCGCGCATGGATGGATACGTGGGGAGTTGCCGATCGGATCTCTCTTCCGTTGACACGAGGCCAGCGGCCTTTCTACGAAGCGTGCGTGCGGACAAACAAAGTCAACAAGTGGACGACCCCTTCCCTGAAGAAGAAACCGTTTCATTCCAGAGCTCCATCGAAATGGTCCCTCTGTCATGGCGCCGCAACTGACAATTATTTCCACCAATGAGTCATCCGTCAATTTCAAAAAAACAAAACAACAACAACAGAACAGAACGTTGACATTTCCATCCCTTTATTCCAAAGTGGGACATGATTTCCAAATGGTTTGGTCCTTCTGTCGGAAAACCTGCCAAAAGGTCCGCCGGCTTTGTTTGTCTCCGATGTAAAAGCCCAAGTTTGCAAACGTCTTCTTTTGATTTTACGCAAAAGATATTGCGCTAAGTTTCGTTTTCGCGGAGGATGACTCATCAGGGAATATTTGGCGGATTTGCACGATTTGAAGTTCGGCGAGGTCTCGAAACGGCTGATTGGTCAAGATAGTTGTCGATGAATTTGATCATTGATCATTGATGAGTCGTAGAGTCACCGATGAATTCTTGCACCTCTGCTCGATCGGTTCGCACTTTTGGAGAAACGTTTGCCGACACCGCGGTGACGCTCGCTTAAGACGCTCCATCGGATTCGTCCCCGTTTCCCTCCGCCCAAATTGAAAGGTGGCCACCTTTGTGAGACCGATGAGGAAAACGCTTTGGGATGTCAGGAGGTGAAAGTAAGGACTACGCAGCACGCGGCAGCCGACGTCTCCGGCGTGGAGCCGCAAAGACCAGAACTCCCGCAAACCGGCCCGGATCTTGCGGCGCGCTCACCACAGCGTTCATAGCTCGGCTCTGTGTACACGCGCACGAAAAAAAAAAAAAAAAAAACGCAATGTAAACATTATCGTAGGAAAAAAAACACACCTGAGACATCGCTGTCAATCCTCTTCAAATAGCCGCGTCATTTTTGGGGTTCCCGTTGCCATGGCAACCAGAGCTGGCAGAAGGGGGGCGGGGGTGCCCGTGCCCGTAGGGTTCTTTTTGACACAAAAGAAACATTTTTGTGAGTTTGGCTAAAATAAGATGATGAGCTAGCTAGCTAGCTTAAAAAAAAAAAAAAAGAAAAAAAAAAGTCTTTTTTTTTTTTTCCAATTCAAGACAGTTCCGTCTTTGCTCCAAAACGAAAGACAAACATAAGTAAAAATAAATGAATATCGGCGCCAGTGAACAGCCGTCCAAAAGAAAGCGGAATTAGCCTAGCTTAGCATAGCCCCAAATGCCTGATTTAAACCCCCCCCCGAAATTCTGAGTTATATTCGGCTCCAGACTTCAAGATGTCTCCGGAAGCTTTGCGGACGAGCCGGCTTTAGGCTAGCGCTAGCAAGTCGCTTGGCCGGGCCATTCTTCGAAAACACTTTTTGCGCCTTAAGTAGCGAGCTGATGAAAGGTGTCGCGTCAACGTACGACGAAGGGAGCGAAACAACGCCGGGCGTGCCATGCGCGAACCTATTCTCGGCGCTGAGGCGAGGCTAACGGGCGAGGCCTCCGATGCGCGCAAAACAGAAGCTGGCAGATGAAGAGGTGTTCCAAAAAAACAAAATCTCATCACTTCGTGGCACGCTGCGCGCTCACGTTAGCTTGCAGCGCCCGCTATTATACATGGAAACAACAACAACAACAAAGACATTGGAAGAGTTCGGTCGTGACGCATTCAAACTCAGAAGTTCAATGTGCGACCCAGACACATTTTCGTCGCTCTGGTTGCGACCCGTCCCGCCGAGTCGACATAATTATGCCCCCCGCCCACCTATTCCTTTCAGGGCAGATGACTCAAAACAAGCGAATCGTGAGTCACGACCGGTCAGTCTTTCTCAGCGCTGTCCGTTTGCCGTCAGGAACTCTGCCAATTTGTTTCAAAGTCGGCGAAAGCGTCCGATCGTGATGCGTTTCGATCCATGTGCGACCCACACACATTTTCAGAGCTTACCGTTATCCGGTCGCGCTCGAGACGCGGGTCGCAGTTGTTGCGAGTCACGACCCGGAGTCCCGGCGCGGCCAACGGCGATGCGTGAAAAGATCACCGGGGAAGTCGGACGGCGTCGGAGAGTCCGGTCGCCGTCGTCCGGACGAGCGCTCGAGGGACCGCTTGGAAAAAAGCCACGGATGAGAGCGACGGCGGATGGCGAAGAGACGTGCTTCCCGTTGGACGATGGCTCTTGGGCGCCCACGACAACGTTCGGGGTCAAGTCTTCAGGCTCGGAAGGGGAGGAGCCTCGCGGTGGCGCTAGCCGGCTAGCTAGGGAGCGAGCTAGTTAGCCAGTTAGCTCGCTCCCTAGCATCGCGTGGTGGCGAGGACGGTGGACGGTCTCCGCCCCCTCCGTGGAGCTCCTCCCCCAGTTACTGGCGGACCTCGTTTGCGATCAGACTGTCCTCCCCCGAGTGGAAATCCGCCTCATTGATGTTGTTGCCGCCGTTGAGCATGTCGTCGTCCTGAGACGACGCCCGGTCCTCCTCGCCCCCGCCGCCCGGCTCGTCCGAGTTGGGGTCCTGGAGCACCTGGGCGATGTACATCTGCTGCGAGGGGACACAAAGCGTCGGGCGGGTTGCTTAGCCACGTCGCTCACCTCGTACGTCCGCCGCTCGGACACGTTCCCATTTCAGAACGCGAATCGCCGGGTTACGTTTGTCGCCGGCGACCGCTCACCTGCGATTTGGACGGCGGGGAGGCGGAGCTGCGGGCCGGGCGTCCGTTCTCCACCACTTCCGCGTCCGAGTCCTTGGTGTCGATCTGCCGTGCGACAAGGCGCCGTTAGCGCCGGCGCGCGCGGACGGGGCGGGCGGGCGTACCTTGTAGTTGTGAGCGCTGAGGTACTTGAAGTGGCCGAAACAGACGTGGGACAGGCACACCACGATGGTCACCACCAGGACCACCAACGTGAAGACCGAGGTGGGCGTCTCGAAACCTGCGCGCTTGGCACCGTTAGCTTCACGGCCCCCGCCCCCGCCAAAGGAAATCAGCAAGGAGCCCAATCGGCACGGTCCGAACCTTAGCGGGCTAATGTTTGACTTGACTCGCGCATTTCTACTTCTCCCTCGACCGATCTTGGAGAAGTGCAGTTCAAGATCCAACTGCACTTCTCCGACAGAGCGGAGGAAGGGCATTCCAGGGCGACCGCAAAGGGACGGCCACGCGATGGAATGTTGCGCTTGCAGCCGACGGAACCCCCCCCCCGGCGCAACTGAGAGACAGACGCTCATTTTCGGGGGAGTCTCCGAGGGACGGAGGGCGGGAGGAGCTTGCCTGTCCGCATGGTGGAGAAGAAGAGCAGCCAGAAGAGGCAAAGGATGGGCGCCGCCACCACCTGAGTCACGGCGCCAGAATGGATCTTCTTGTCCAGCTTGGACGGCAGGTACGCGTAGTACATGTTGTAGCGGTCCACCAGGTGCTTCAGCAGCATGTACATCAGACCTGGGGGCGGGGCGGACAGTCAGCCCGGAGCCCGGAGCCTGCGCCGCCCCGCCCCGCCCCGCGCTCACTCACCGAAGGGCACGATGATGGGGCAGGTGATGCTGTAGGCCATGACCACGGTGAAGACGTTCATGATCCACGCGTACGCCGCCCCGAACTGGAACTCGTACGCTTGATGCTGACAGCGCAGGAAATCGCGTCAGTCGATCGGCCGGCAAACAAACGCGGCGCGACATCCGGCAGGGGCCGGGATCCGGCCTTCTGCTGCGGCTCGCGGAAGAACTCGGTCAGAATACGGACTTCTGGACCTGGTTTTTCCAGACCCGCTCTTCTGGATCTAGGCCTGATAGAAGCCGTTCGATAAACCTGGTCAGGATCCGGCCCCTTGCGCATCTGGTCTTTTCGACCCGGTGACAGGACCTGGTGTTTTGGACCCGGATCAGACCTGGCCGGCCTGGATTATAGCCTTCTGGGCCCGGTCATCCGGATCCGGTTGGGTCTCAGTCGAGATGCGCCCCCCCCCCACCCCCCCGACCCCCTCCGGACCCGATTTGATCAATCCGGATCCGGGCCGGGTCCTCGAGATCTAGCGAGGATCCGGCCTTCCGGACCCGGGCCGATCCCGCCGTGCGCTCACCCTCTTGACGTTGCGTCTGTCGGCGGCGGACGGCGCCAAGCAGAGTCGAATCATGTACATGAGGAGGCCCGGGATCCGAAGCAAGTCCATGGCGTTCCCGATGAAGGCCGAAGCGATGACGTAGTTGACGAAGAAGGCGCCGTTGTCGGGCAGGAACACGCACCTGAGGGAAGCACACGCACCCGGGCGGTCTTGTGCCGTGTCTCCGGGCGAAAGCGAGGCGGGGGAGGCGAGGCGGACACTCACTCGAAGCGGACGGTGCCGTCGGCCAAGAATTTTTTGTCAAAGAGCCAACGGAAGAAAACATCCAAGCTGAAATGGCAGAGGGAGGGCGCGGCGGCGGTCAAAAGCGTCGGACGACAAACGGAGCCGCCAAAGAGCAACGTTACCTGCTCAGGCCGAGGGAGGGCAGCAGAAGAACCATAAAGATCAGGAAGGTGTAGCACTTGTGCATCGTCGTGCGGTTCTCTCCGGACCTGCGCACACCTTCGAGGATTAGTCTGGCAACTCAAAGTAGACTTTGGAGCGCAAAACGGCGACCGAGGACCAGCCGGCCGGCGCTTTTGACATGAAAAGTACTCTCGGGACGATGGGCGGCGTCGCTCGAGACCTGGTCCAGTGCGCCTCGAAGAAGGCCGAGTAGTAGACGATGGTCGGCAGCAGGGCGGAGAAGGCCCACAGGAGGAGCGTGGGGAAGAACTGGGTCACGATGGGGTTCTGCGGAGGCACGAGGGCTCAAAAGCTTGGCCGGCGCCGAGGCCGAGGCCGAGCGCGCGGTTCCTCTCACGTTGAGGTACTCCACCGGCTTGGTGACGTTGAACTTGTCCATGGTGGAGATGATGATGGCGGGCGTGGTGAGGAAGAAGAGCAGCAGGAACAGGATGCAGTTGATGATCAGGCAGCGGATCCACCAGGAGACGCCGCCCAGCGACAGGTGCTCCCTGTCGGAGCGCACGCCGACACGTCACCCTGCGGGAAGCGGCGCGGGCACCCCGATCGGGACCGGGACCGGGACCCACCAGCGCACGTTCTGGGGGTCGGGCGCGTACGAGACGTTCCAGTCGTGCACGTGGAGCGCGTCGCCGAATTGCGAGGAGCGCGGCTCCTGCCGGCAGCGGCAACCTTGCACCTGACACGCGTTGAAGTCCTTCAGGATTCTAGAGGGCCGACGGGAGCACGGGTCAGGCCTGGGACGCGCCGCGTGCGCCGGCTGGCCGCGCGCGGCTTTCCTTACATGGCGGTCGTGGCCTCGTTCTGGAAGGTGACAAAGGCCATGCCCAGAGGTTTGGTGTGGACCTTTTCCTTCTCCCTGCGGTACTCCGCCTTCAGTTTTGCCTCCCTCTTGGTGTAGAAGCTGACCGCCTCCTCCTGCCGGCAAAAACGCACGCACACACAAACCGCGATCGACCGTGCGCCCTACGATCCGATGCGCGAGGTCTCGGCTCGCTGTCGGCGAGTCGGCGTCAGGTATCGTCCGGAGAAGTCTCGGGGACTTGAAAGCGGGTCGGGTTAAGCGCGGTTTACTGTAGGCCTCGCCGGGGCGTCAAGTCGGTGGCGGTCATCTCGGTCCGGTCGAGGTGTCGTCAGGGGGAGCGAGCGAGCGAGCGAGCCGAGCAAGGCGGCGGACCTCCTCGCAGCCGGCGATGGCGCAGCAGCAGAGATGTCCGCAGGGCTTGGGGTTGATCATGGTGGGGACGTGCTCCTTGGCCATCAGGTCGGTGAAGAACTTCTTACTGCGTTCCGTCTTCTTCCTGCGGCGCGGGGGCGGGGTCAGACACTCGCCGACGCCCCCGAAGGCGGCCGGTCGCTCGCTCACCTCTCGGCGTTCAGAGACATCAGCTTGGCCACGTTGTAGCAGATCCGAGCTTCCAGAACCGCGCAGTTCTCGTACGCCTGCCTGAGTAGGGGGCGGGGGGGCATGCTAACACGTGCAAAGGCAAAGGCTTCGGCGCAAAAAGGCGATCGATGGCACGTACTCAAAGTGTTGCTTGATCTGACTCTCTTCGGCGTACTTGGAGATGCCGTTGATGAATAAAGTGCGCTTCACCTGCGAGGCACAGACGGAGGGATTGGCGCGGCGCTCGCTCGCTCGCCGCGCCGTTTTCTTACCAGGTCGTCCTCCTTGTAATGCATCTTGGACGTGTGTCGTCTCATGCTGTAGACGGTGAGCAACAGGTACATGAAGGCGAACGTCGTGTGCAGCCACAACAAGTTGGTCCTGCGGGCGCCGGCAAACAGTTTGAGCGTCACGCGCGGCGCACACTCCCCGAGGTCCCCGCGAGGGAGGTTTTTGGCTTTGTTCTTTTCCTTTGCGACAATCTTGTTCTCCGGCGATGGGACCTCCGTCGTTCCGAGTCCCTCGACAAGCTAGCTCGGATCGGCGGCGCGGACATCGAACGCTGGCGTTATCGCGGCCCCGTTAGGTGAGGGGGAAAAGGGCAAACTCACCCGGACTTCAGGTTGGCGATCGTCGTGCGGCCGAAGCTGTAGGCGTTGTTTTCTGAAAAAGCAGCCAAGATTCCAAATCAGCGAGACGGAACATCTCGGCGCCGTTTCTTCCACCCGACGAATTCGGAACGGCGATCGCGCCCAACGGCTCGCGTCGCTTCGAGACGCGGACGGACCACGACGGGAGCAGAAAAGACGAGGCTTTGGGTTGGACTGGAGCTACCACCCACACATCTACGCGAGCGGCGGCTCTACCAATCCACGAGTCTGCTAGCCACACGTCACCAGTGAGAGCTCGCTCCAAGTGACTTTACCTTCTTTGGACGGCGGGCCGCCTGCTCCTTGGTCGAGCGGCAAATCTTTGCTGATAATTCGGACTAGACCATCGCGCGCACACACACACACACACACACACCAGTCCACATCCTGCTTGTCAGTTCCAAAACATGTGAAAGTGATTATTCAGGTTGAAGCGTATTTGACGCTCGGCTTTGACTTCCGAGGGTCTCGGGGAGGGCTGGCTGGAGATCGGGGGCGGGGGGGGGGGTTTCTCGGCCAGTGATCGGTCGCGATTCGTCTCACCCACCCAGCAGGTCGCCCGAGAAGTTGACGGGCAGCACGATGCCGACGGAGAGCACGCCCACCACCACCAGGAGGCCGATGATGTGACGCTGGAAGGACAGGTAGTGCACCGCGTCCTCGCCGCACTTCTCCCGGATCTCCTCGTCCCTGCCGCCGCCGCACATGTCAGTCGCGCGAGCGGGGAAGACCGAGCCGAGCCTTTGCCCATCGACAACTCACTTGATTCGGAAGATGGCCGTCAGCCACGAGCAGAAGCCCTGCCGGCCCCAAAGGGACAGCAAAAAAAAAAAAAAAAAAAGACACAGCAAAGTCAACAACCGAGACCGTCTCGCATCCCCTGAAGCCGAAACGCGCTTCCCGGGTCAAAAGGAACACCCCGCCCCCCTCGCATTCAAAAAAAAAAAAAAAAAAAGACGCAAATAAGCAAGGGGAACAATGTCAGGCAGCAGCTAAAAAGACGAGGCGTTGTCCGAGTGGGCGGAGTCTCCGAGGCCCCCTTGGGCCGACCTCTGACCTGCTCATTGTTTAAGTGGATTAGCATTAGCATCGGCGTCGCCTACGCCCGGCGGATTAAAGCGAAAACACGCCGATCCGTCCCCGTGACGGCGACGACTCGAGACGTGCGTCTCCTTTCCTCATGCGGCGCGGCACGCTAACCGAGCGAAGGAGAGAAGGCGGGAGGAAAGGAAGGAGAGAAGCAGGCGCGCTCACGTTGTCGCGCTGTTCCAGGTCCACGGAGCTGGAGACGGACGTGAGGCGCTCGTAGCGGTCGGGAGTGTCCGAGTGCATCGCCGCCGACGCCACGCTGAGGAGACAGCCGAAGGGAGGGTCGGTTAGCGCTTAGCTTCCGGCCCCGCACCAGCTAGTGCTCGCACGACGACACAGACCGGGAGCTAACACCGCATCACTTCCTGCTCACGGCCCTCGGGGCCTCCGGCTAACTCGCTAGCTGGCTAACACGCCACAGGGACGCTGATACACGCACGCACGCACGCACGCACGCACGCATTACCTTTTGACCGGCTCATAGTTATCCCTGTCTCGTCTTCGGCTGAATTGTTTTCATGTCGGGGACAAGCACGAAGAACGGTTAGCATCGTAGCGGCTATTAGCATGCTATTAGCCACTCAAGACGAGCGGCCAGCCATTCGTTGTCTGCGTGCTTGACTGTCGTCGACTCCCCCCTCCCCCCTCGGTCGGGAAGGCCGAAGCCGCTCACCTGTCGGCGTCGGTGACCAGCGCCAGGCGTCCGTAGTCCCACGCCACCTTTCGTAAGATGGAAAAGACGAAGAGCAAGACCTGCGGGGGAAGACGCGGCGCGCCCGTTAGACCGCGCCCGACCAAGCGCTTTTGCGCGGCGGCGGCGGCGGTCTGACCAGGAAGCACATGAAGTCGAGCGCCAGCACGGTGGGCACGCCGCCGAAGGGCAGACCTTGCAGCACGGTGCTGCGGATGCGCGCCGAGTAGCAGTACTCCTTGGAGCCGCCGTCGCCGGAGCAGTTGCCCCGGGCGGCGCCGCAGGCCCGGCCGCCGCCCGGGGTCGCCATGGCGATGATCAGCAGCGGCAGCATGCTCAGCGCCGCATCCCGCTCGCCTT